ATGCCTAGCAATTAGTTTTCCTTAATTCTATTAGAACTTTTCTAAATTCATACGTTTCTTAGTTCCAATGACAGAATAAATTTGATTTTTGATGTCAAAAAAACTCCAAACCCCAAACGAACAAAAAGATCAGGGACATTTTTTACAATAGATTGAATCTATGACTAAAGCACAATTAACTATATATGTTTTACTAAGATTAACGGACATACACTTCTACAAGTCTCAGCAAATGTGGGAAAAGAGATTAGCACAAGAACATGATGAGATCTGATACTTGTTTTTTACGCGTACTTATTTGCAGGTTTGGTGCATTTCTTAGCTGTAAGTATTAGATGAGTTATTAAAGGGTGTTCATAGCCTCCAAAAAGGAACATTATCATATTTATTACACAATGTTAGCCTATGAATTCCTACCTCGTGCTTTTGATAACTGTTTATAATTATCTCAAAGATCTTTGAATCAGACTTGACAAAACTTGTCCCCCACCCTCCTCTAGCGTTACACATGAACATCCTAACGTGGTGCTGCAGTGTGTTGGACCGCTGGATTCACAGCTCATACCGCCTGGGACTCCCTGGGTGTCCAAGGCAGGCAGCACGCTGTAACTGAGGAAAGTCTCAGAGTAAACAGGTACTAGATCTGCTACAACACCTGCGTACTCTAAAGGTTGTAGAGTACAGCTAAGATACTGGACTAAGATTAAGAGCAAAGCAGGCTTGGCAGGGAGAAAAAGGACTGGCTTCCCAAGTTGTCATTTAAGTGAAAAAGCTCATTTTAAATAAGGAAAATAAACATTATAGTAGATCTGTCAAGATTTGGAAACCAAGAAGGAATTTAGTAGGCAAGCAGTAAAGATGATGAGTAGCTACAAATCTTTTTAAAATTACTGCATGTTTAGGATGGATGGCATTGCTTGTCCTCAAATGGTAAGCAAAGGCGAATATATTTCTTATACTCTTTGAGTATGTGTGTGTTCCCAAATTCATGTGCCCTGCCCACTTAGCTAGATGGGCAATCTTACTTCCAAAAAGGCATTTCCTACATTAATCACTGTAAAAACCCATTAAGCCTTCTACTACTTATTCAGAGACATTCAATAACTATGTTTAATAGTAAAAATAAAATTAATGAATGCCTGGAAACAATGGGGCAAATAATAAAACACCCCAATTCCAGTGAAATTAGAAACAGGATGGGAAAAATATGTTTATGTGGGGGTAGGCTGCAAAGAGGGCAACCTGCAGCTGCTCCTGGGTACAGGTGAGGGAGTTTGTGGGGCGGCTGAGGGCACCCACGGAGCGGAGCGTTTCCATGGGAGATCAGATCCTAGATACCCATGCATACCTGCCTGTGAAACACCAGGGGCTGGTCCAGCACCAGCCCTACAGTCTATGACCAGCCCAAAACTACGAGGTGACTGGCTTAGGCCACCGGAAAAGAGAAACAACTCTAGCAGAAAGAAGAATAAAAAGCAGTTATTAGCAGGGAGGGTTGGGCGGCATCTCCCGTGCTGTGGTAATTGCGGCGGGTGCTGCCACCCGCGCTGGCGTAAACAGCTCAAGAGGGAGGACCGCGTCCCCAGGCGCCTGGGCCGCCTCTCCCAGCACGAGGCCGCACCACGCGAGGGGCGTGTGGCCCTCGCCAGCCGCCCGCTCCTCGCCACGTGTCCCGCACCGGGAGGCCTCCCCGTCCTGGGCGGGGAAGCACACGCCGGTGAGGGACTTTTGGAAACCCATGCAGGGTTTGGGGTATATAAAAAAAAAAAAAAAAATAATGCGCAGTCTGGTCGATTAACGTTTTCTGGGGAAAAAAAGAAAACAAAAAAAAAACCAAACCAAAACTAAAACAAACAACCCACCAAAAAAATGAAGAAAAACAAAACAACAACAAAACAAAACCAAAAAAAACCCAAACACACCCCCAAAAGACAACAAAAAAGAAAACCGAAAAAAAAAAAAAAACCCACAACAAAAAACCCCAAACACCACACACATATACAAAAAAAAAAAAAGGAAAAACAAACAAACAAACAAAAATAAAAAAAAAACAAGCCCAAACCCCAGCCAGACAGCAAAAAATACCAACCAAAAAAAAAAAAAAAACCAAAACAAAAAAACAAACAACCCCCCAAAAAACCCCACCACCAACCACCAGAACGACCAAACGTTCGTAACAAAGGTCCCACCTCTGAGACCAGCGGTGGCCGGGGCAGCGTCAGCCCAGCCCCTGCCGAGAGGGACGAGGCGACAACCCCTCGCGGGGCGCGCGCGCGCCCCCTCCCCGCGCCCACTCGGCTCCGTTTGAACCGGCCACGCTCGCGCTCAGCCAACGGGGCGCCGCGCCGGGCCCTGACGTCACGCGCGGCGGGAGCGGGGCCGGGCCGGCGGCAGCTCCGCCACGGGCGGGCAGAGCTGTCAGCCGTGGGGCCGCCGCCGCCCCGGCCCACGCGTATGTACACGTCTCCCAGGAAAATGAGGGTAAGCGCGCCGGGACGGTCGCTGCCGTCGTGACACCCCCCCCCCCCCCCCGCCTCGCCGTGCGCGGCCGGGCAGAGCCGCAGGCTGGCGGCTCCGTGGTGCCGGGGAAAGACACCGTAACGGTCGAAGGGACACGGGTGGGTTGGCCTCAGAAGTTGCCCCGCGGCTGAGCGCGGGGAGCGCCGCCGCTGGGAGGGCGCGGAGTGGTGGTGGTGGTGTGTGGGTTGCGGCAGGTGCTGCCCCCGCAGCGCTCCCCGGGAGCCGGGGCCCTCGTGTGCGTGGCGAGTCCGGCGAGTTTCTGGGAGACGCGCGGGCTGGAGGGGCTGAGGGAGCGGCTGCCTCGCCCCCGTGGAGGGGCCCGGGCTGCGGCGGGAGCTGGCGGCCGCCCCCGGCCCCGCTGGGAGAGCCGGGGCTCGGCTCCCGGCCCTTGCGATCGGTCGCAGATCGGTACCGCCGGCTCCCGAACAGAACTGATGCAACAGCGAACGTCTTAAAGGACTTTAAAGCACTTAATGGCAAAACTGGGATGCGTTTCCTCCTACAGCATCTTTTCAGTGGGCGCTTTCTTGGTGGTTAACATCCCTTAAACCCCTGTGCAACTTGCTGTTGGCCAGAAGTGCCCAGCAAAGCCTGTCCAGCCTAAGAAGTAGCTTTCAGCTCTATTGCTAGGGTCCTTAAAAGGAAAAAAAAAAAAACCCAAACAAATTACTGGCGAGTTGCATAGTATGCATAGCAAAGCTGGCTGCTTCATCATACGCTCCAGTGATTTGTCAGATTGTGTACGGCAAAGCTTAGGCCTAACAAGTCTGTGAAATACCGAGCAACCTTAATGCCTGTTGGTGCAAAATTGACATTTTTCATTTCGTTTGATATACCATTAGATCCTGCATTTTCTGTTTTATTTGACTATGTCCTGAACTTCTGAAATTGAACTCCACTCCTCAGAGTAGTCTCTCTGGTTGCTATCAAACAGCTGCTATATTTTAACTTAAAAGGAATTATGTTTCCCTTATACCTGTATCGTGTATAAATACATAAAATTCTTCTGGTTAAAGCCACAAAACGGTTCTCCTTATCAGCCTGATACACAAGTAAATCTGTCACCTCAATGAACAAGTATTGTTAATACTGGTATTTTTTTCTTACCAATACACCTAGCATTCGTTTGAGTTTAAAAACAAAGGTTTTGTATCTGAGGTTATACACATGAACAATCACTTTGGAGAGTTCGAGACGAAGAATGTGCCTTGCATATTAAAAGAATACAAAGTAGATTTCTGATCTGTAATTGTTTCAAGTGCTAAATATAAAAAGAAAAAATGTAAAAAACCCCCAACTTACAGCATTTTAGGTTTTTGGTTCTTAAACCAATTTTTGAAATATTGCTAAAGAGAAGGAGAGGACTTGCGTGTAAGACACTAGTGCAGTTAGAAACAGCTGTCAGTTTAAAGGTACTGGTCATGGCCTAATCCTTTTTATCTATGTAAGTGCTTTTCAGAGTATGACAATATCACATTTGCTTCATAGAAGGTGAAACAGCAGTTAAACAGTTAATACTGCCTTCTTTCCACTTAACCTTCTAAACAGTCTTAACTATTTAAGCAGACATGGAAGTGTTTTGATACTAATGCTCAGTAATACTTTCAACCTTTATATACAGTAGCAGGATGTTTTGTTTAACCTTCTGCATATGTTTAAACTGTAGCCAGTTTAAAACAAACAAACAAAAAGCCCCCCACAGTTTACTCACAGTTGGTAACTATGGTATACTGATAGAGCTTGTGTAGCCAAGGGGAGGGAGGTGGAAACCCCAAACTCTCCTGTGGTTTTCCTGTTGCGACAGCAGGTTTGTTTCCTAAGCAAAAAATGTCCAAAGGGGCTGTTATTAGAGTTGTATATTACAGTATATGTCACAGAATTCAGTTCCACTCAGTTCATGGTTTCATGTACCAAAAAACAAAAGGCAATTTTGTTCACACAGTATGTTCCCCACTGTTTACAGTGATATCTATTTGCAGGAGAAGATGCACTTTGGACAAGACCTGGATAACATCTAGCTACAGAAGTGGTGATAAATCCTTCACCACAAGTCAAGTATTTTGGCCAAAGATCTGACTTCAGAAAGAGTAAAAAGAGGGACATTAAGGCACAACACTGTTTTTTTAGTAAGGCATTACAGTATCTTTGAAATCCAGAAAGCATTTTGCATTTTCATCCTTGTATCATTTTATGCATAAAGAGCCAGGGGAAAACTAGGAGGAAAGGAGAAATCAAGTACAGTGAAAAAAATTTCTTCAGCTTCTGCATCTACAACCTTAGTGCCATAGTTTAAAGTACAGTTCAAACCCCAAAGCCAGCTTACAGATGTGTGACTACTTAGAGTCAGAACTTAACTCGAATACCCAGGCTTCATCCAGTCAAATATGTAATTGTGTTTAATGTATGCCTGTGTAAAACCCACACATAAGACATCCTGAAAGAAAGCTTAACCCTCTCTCTGGTTTTTGCCTCTTCCGCAGGAAACTATGCCCCAGACGCCAATATTTTCCAGCATGCTTGGTTCCAGTTGTAGTGGACAAGTGCAGCCAGATATGGGAGAGAGGTGTGTGGACCCTGTTTATCAGGATGGCAACCTTGTTTCTGGATCACTGGAGGCCTTGATAGAGCGCCTGGTGCCCACCATGGACTATTATCCAGATGTAAGTAGCCACTGAAGGGCTTTTTTTATTTCCCATAGTTTTCCTGCATTAGTGCTTCCTCAAGAAATTCTACCTCCATCTGATTCAAGATTAAGATGTAGGCTAAAGATGCTTCTATTTTACTTGTGATATTCATTCACTAAAGATGTTGCTCAATAGGGATACTCTCCTTTCTGTTTTTAAATGAGAACACTTGTTAGAAAGATAAAGCCATGTTGAAAACAAATGGGTGCCTTAAGAACCAATTAAAAGCAGCATTAGCCACAGAATTTTCAATCCCTCTAAGCTGCTTTAGCTCTAATGCTGCCAAGATTAACTACTAACCAGCTCCTACCTAGGGAAGCAGACCTGAAATCAGCTCTGTTGTATTTTTGTGTTTTTTTTTTTTTTTCCTCTTATTTTTCTATGCATATTCTAGTTAAGCCATCAAAAAAAATCAAAAATAGATTTAAATTAAAATGCTCTATTTCTGAAGACATTTTAATGGGCCAACACTGTAATAATATATGTTCCTGAGCCTGAAAATGATTTTGCAACTGATTAAACATCCTCAGTACAGTCCCCTGAAGTAAATACTACTTAGAACTCCAGGGCATGCAGTAAGATTCTGAACCTAGGATATTTAAGAGATCACTTCATCACTTAAAATTACCCCTTGTACACATTAGTGAAAAATGTTATTTAAACAAGTTGCCAAAGATCAGAGAGGCTATGTAGCATGTATTCCATTTGAGCTCTGAAAAAGCGGCAGCTATGGCAGAAGCATACCAGTTCTTTGTAGACTAACAAGGGGGTGAGAATTTGCAATCACTATTAACTTGTCTGTTGAACTTAATGCTTGCAGCAGTGGGCCATGCTATATCTTGTATGTTTCTCAGTCTTAATTTGTGTAGAATTTTTTACTATGATTTCACATCAGTCATCGTAAAGTCCCTCCAAGCTCCCACGTATAAACCATCAGTCTTTGCAATCGCCATGCACAAAAGAGGGACTCCCCATGTGAGAGTTCAGCAGCAGAATTACCAGCAACCATCAGTAAATTAAAAAAAAACAAAACAAAAAAAAAAAAAACCCCAGGATGTTTTAGTATTCCAGTTCAAAAGTAATTCCAAATCTTTTGTTTAACTATGGTTAATGTACCATTGCACTACCTTTGATAGATGCTGACTTAGTACCAAGTCCTTCATAAGACACAGAGGGATAACCAGTGTTAGACATTAAATCTCTGCTCCCTGCCCCCAAATACATATTGCAGAACGGATGCACAGAAAAAAGCAGCAGGTAGAGCTGGTATCGTATACCAGTGGAACAGCTTTAGGCTGCTGTAGTTAGGCCTTGCAAGGAGTTGTTTCCTTGGCTTCTGTGTGATACTAGAATATAGTCACTGGCTGCTTGGATTTCTGAACTCTAGCTAAGTTTAAGTAGCTGCTAATACACATACCTTACTGTAACTTATAAATACAAGTTACTGTATTACAACACAGCTACTCTGAAAACGGTTCCATACAGTGAACATTACTTAAGGGGTCTACAACTTATTTTAGAATGCTGCTAGTTTCCATGGTGCTATCCCATACCCCGTGCAAGGGAGCATTGCAAACCAAGCAGTCACAGACCCCACGGTGGGAGGCTGCAGTTCAAATAGACAGCAAGCTGACAGCTGAGAGAGATACAACAGAAGCAAATGAAGGGTACTCCAGGGAAAGAGAGATGGAAGACATTGTTAAACCAAATTCATCTCCTCTACAGCGGGACACATTCTTTTAGTTAAATCAGATCACCCAATTTAGCTGAAAGGTTTAATTATAAAATGGGTAGATAAATAAGCTTTGAACAACATAAAGAAGGAGTTGTGTTTGTGTCATCTTCAAATCTAGATTTTCTATTTCAGTTCAGTTGCACGTTTAGACTTCATTTCATGCTCCTTTCTATTTTTAGGGAAGTTGCCAGAGAGGGTTAGCGTGATAGCCATTTACCCTGATGTCCTGTCAGAAGGGTAGCCAATACTGTATGTTAAAGCAGAGTCTCATGTCTGGCTACACGTGCAAAGAAAGGCAGCAAGGCATCACCAATTAATTTGCACCAGTAGAAGCTATTGGTAAAATTAGCAGAGATTACCTTAGTTTCAGAGTGACATACCTGTAAATTGCAGTACTTGTCCGAATTTTTGGATGGGGGTGGGGGAGAAAGCAAACACAAAGTATCTTTCTGTGCTGGTTACAGAGACAAAACAAAAATGTTATTTGCCATGTTGGCAGAACATGAGACAGGCAAGGGAGGACAGGAAAGATAAGGGTCTACGTTTGTGTACTGCTCTTTTGAGGCTTGTTTGTGTACAGGGCCTTGTTCAGCACATAGAAAAATGTATACTCATGAGACAAATTAGTTCGGGAGGTTAGGAATGGAATGTACCAGTCTGCAACCCTCGTGCCCAAGCAAGAAAACATTTCAAGAAAATATTCCACAAACAAGAAGTTCCAAAATGAGCAAATGAGCAGTGAGTGCACAAAGAAAAAAAAAAAAATATATTTTTTCTTTCCCCTCCTCAAGAAGACATCAGTGCATTCTTGGGTCAGAGAGTAACAATTCCTTCTTTAGTCTTATGTGATCATGCTCTCTCTTTTTTTTTTTTTTTTTTTAAATATAATTCAGCTCATCTCTTAGCAACAACTTTAGGCACCAAAGGAATCTGGCTTCTTATTCTCTTGTAAAGCACAAGCCCCCTTTGTGTCAGCTTACGTTGTTCTAAGCACAGAAAGGATTTTTTTTTTTTTTTTTGGCTTCTCCTCCCAAATACCTGTCACTTTTGTAGGATAAATGGAGCTTAACTTTCAATCTCATAGCTCATGGAAGCATTTTTTAATCATTCTTTGTCAAACCAGCTAGCTTCATAGCTAAGTTTCTTCTCCAAACCATCATCTTCACGATTAGGGGACTGCCTATGAGAATGTGGTTTGCACACTGTTATAACATTTAGCCTATATGTGTATAGTAATACAGGTGCAATAAAAATCCTTGATTTAGATAAAGCATTATTCCTAACTCCAAGACCTACCACTAAGCTGAAAGGTATGGTTTAGTTCAGCCTGAATTTTCTTTATTGAATAGGCAAGTGGCTATTAGCAGAGAGGCAAGGAGATAGGGGCTAATACTGCTGTCAGACCTATCGATTTTTAATTTAGTTCTTAATTGCAGTTACTCCCTGTCTATGCCAGCATAAGCAATAAAAGTATTGACCCCACCCTCCTCAATTAGATACCAATATATTGTAAACCAGCATATCTTGATTGACCATAATGGAACCATTTTGTTTTCCAAAGTATTAAACCTAGTCCCAGTTACATGATTTTAAAAACTGAATAGAAATACAGCAGATGGGTTCCAGAAGTTATAATAATTTGTTTCTAAAACCTAGTAGTTCAGTGTTGTCTTGAAAAGCACGACATGGGTCCAGTACAGATATTACTGATTACAGTGAGACATCAGCAAGAGTAAAATGGAAAGCACGCACTTTTAGGGCCATGTATCTTCCTGCATCTTGCCAGTTCAGCACTTTTTTGAACATCATATAAAACATTATCAAAGAAACCAACTAAAAGAACAGGTCATGTGGGTCACACTTTTCTTGCAGTGTGACAATAGGGAAATGATACTCTGAGTGGGCCTCTCTCAGAGTCTCTTTGGATAAACACTGTCTCACACAACACAAACTTCCACCAAGGAGACCAACACTAGAATTAGTATGAGAAGCAAAATTATATCTTCCCTTAAAAGAATATGTTCCATCTTATCAGAGCGAAGGTCACTGACAGGCCAGCGTGACTTAAGTTGTGGTTCCCTGACACTTACACATACAGGCATCTTTCAATCAGGATTCTAAACTCCCAGAACAAGCATGTGGAAAAGGGATGCAAGTATCAAAGTCCATAATGACTTTTTTTAAATTCCCCATGCCTCTCAAATGCAAAATACAGAGGGCTGTTTCATGCTTCCAGAACAAAATTTTTCACACAACCTAGTGACAACTGACACACCCAACAGCTAAATTCCTTTCCCAGATATTCCAGTCTCACAGTTTTAAGTTCAGGGACAACGCTGATAAAAGCAAACACAGAACCTGGCTATGAAAAACAACAGAGGAGAACCAGGCATAGTTTCAGACACAAACTCTCTGGTTGTTAGGTGGCCACAGCTGTCCATCTTCTGTAGGCATCAGGGGAAGCACTACTCAAGAGCCTGACTCAAACTGTCCATCCGTTCAACCCTTCTCCTCCCCTCTCCCTCTATTTATAAACAATAGGCAAGGCAAAACCTGTGGATTAACTCCAGTTTCACGTGTACAGAATGAATGCTATTCCTAATTTAATACATGAACCCCAGTGCTAAGAAGATCTTCAGGTCAAAATGAGCATTTTAAATGCCTCTGCTATATCACATTCCATTCTGTTCTTTCATTAGCTTCCTCCACAAGCTCAGGACAGTGTTGGGTGTGTAATAGATATATGCTTAATCTATTATACTGTTTGTTCACTCCCAGAACACTGACTTTTGTTTTATTTATTATGGTAAAAAAACACATTCATTTTTCCTCTTCTGATATTTGGAGGTTTTTAGTGCTAAATTTATGCTACAGGGCACACTGAATACTAAAGAAGTGGAAATATTTTTCATTAATAGCACACCTTATTGTGACTAGAGAGATAAACCCCATAACCTTTTGGAAGTCCTGAAGATACCATTATTGTTTAACTACAAGTGTGTTCCAGAAGACTGCAAGCAGCAGAACTTGGTAGCTAATCATAGAGATGTCATATTTTAGACAACTGGTCTTAAGTTTTTAGATGTTGCAACTTACCCAGTCCAAGGTGGTATATGCACGCATTGATTATTTATATGCACACTTTGCTGTGGCCTGCCAAATCACATTTCTAAAAACAGTAATAGTGCATACTGCAGACATAAAGGTTAATTGAAATCCATTGTCAAGGAGATCCCCTACAATTTCCTAACTCCAAATTTTGTCAGCAAGCCTAGAGGAAAAACAGAAGTGCTTATGAGGTGCTGCTGTCATTACTCGGGCAATTACATTCAAATACAGAAGCCAAGTTTCAAACACTGAAGCAAGACTAGGGCATGCAGGCATTCTCACTTCAACTAACCTGTCCAGAGTATGATTCAGAACACAATGCATTACAGCTTTTAAAATACAAATGGAGATGCTATTTTCTACTGAGAAATAATAATTGTTGGCATTTGTTAGCAGTGTTCATATTGCAAAGGCTCTGAAACAGGCCCTGAATAAGCGAAGTCAAACTTAAACTAAATTATTGTCATATGGCCACAATCTAAGCTAAAGCTTGTGTCAATGACTGTGGGAAAAAGGAACAAAAAACCCCCATACATGAAGAAATTACAGCTGTGGCTTGGAATACACATGAATCAGTTTTCTGCAGCTCAATGAAAAACAATCACTCTTAAAGAAACAAAGCAGAAGCAATAGTGGTGTTCAAGAGCTGTAACAGCCTCCACTGGAGATATTTCATTTGTCTTTTTGCTGAGCGACGACTAGTTAGGCATATTAAGTTTGGCATTTTAAATGAAATTATTTGGGAATCTGAAAACACCATAGTTAACAGCCTTGAGGCCTACAGCATTTCCCTTTAACGGAGCTAGAAAAGACCACCACCTCTTCAGAGACAGGAAATATAAAAAGTTTAAATGAAGGAAAGTTACATTTGTGGTTTGTGGAATAGTTTTTCCAAGAAAGACAGATTATTTCTGCTCAAGTTATTAATTTTATTTTTTTTTCTTTCTGCTTCCACAGCGGACTTACATCTTCACTTTCCTATTGAGCTCACGAGTCTTCATTCACCCACACGAGCTCCTGGCTAAAGTGGGGCAGATCTGCATTAAACAGAAGCAGCAGCTAGAAACGGGGACTGAGGCAGAAAAGGTAAATGAACCATTATGTCCTTCAGTTAGCTCTGATACTGTCATTTGTTTCCCACTCCTTGTTGTAAAACTAAATAGTTTGATAAAGAATAAATTGAAATGGTAATTGGTGTGTATTATTGGATGCATTTTTATTTGGGTCTTTTTCCTTGAAATACTGTTGCTTCTTTGCTAGCCACAAACACAGGTTATGTACTACTTTACCAGTCGGATACAGTGGCTGGAAATAAAACTTAGTTCATGAGCTATAGGTCAGTGCTGTGCTGAAGCAATGTGCATCTGCCGTGAAACCTGCCCAGCAAGTCACTTTGCACTTTTGGGCTTTCACCAACTTAGGTCTTCCTTCAATCTGATTCCTCTTTCTCCAGTCACCCTCATCATCCTCTTAGAGTTGAGTGCTCTGCTGGAGGTTATTGGTGGGGTGTTTTAAGTTGGTGTAACAGTAAATCAGAAAGTTACCTCTCATGAAAATGAAGGGAAATCATACCCTGTGCTGACACATGTGACTATGCAATTTTACTGCAACCACTTAGAGAAACTGGGTCAGTTTATGGTACATACTTCAATGGATTCAAATCTCACCATTATGGAAAGCATGTACTGAAGGGCTTTGGACTGAAATTGAAGTACCAGAATAGTTCAATCTGGGATGCAAATAAGAGCGACAGAAACAAGGTTAAATCAGCAAGTATTTATAGACTTAAATTGTTCAAATCCTGGGCATGTTTTGGATCCATTCTTCTATGGTGAGAAATTACATGCTCACATTCTTATCTTCATCATGTTGATAGTACCATTTCGTTTTCACTTTGGTGTATCAGGACTCCGAGTGGCAAGCATAAAAGGTAACCCTGTGGTTTGACAATACAGAATTTTTGACAGCAATACTGACTTAAGGGCTTCTTTCTCCTTTGCTATTCTTGGGGTGCCATCTCTTGTTACGTCACAAAATTACTCCAAAGGAAAAACTAACCACTTGGTTCAAAATGACTTTCATCCAGCTCAGTCCCCTGATCTACTCAGCAAATAGCTAATTAACTCATCATGTAGGTGCTGGGGAATTCAGTGGGTCAGGGAAAGAAGGTGCAAGAACCATGGCATCCAGCTTCATACACAGAGGTGATAACCATTCCCATCGTCACCGCCAAACTAGTTCACGACTAAGCAACTTCAAACAGATGCTCTGTAAATTGCAGTGGTTTCTCAGCAATATGTAACTACACAACATCAGTACGAACTTGTAAGAGATTCTGGGACCATGTAAAACATGGAACAAGTAAAGCTGATCTGTAGACCTATCAAGCGGAAGACTGCTGTCAGTAGCTAGTGTCAAAATACGTGTGTGAAATACCTGGATTTAAAAATGATGGGATACAAGATGAAAGTTTTGCAAATAGCAATACACTCAGAAGATTTAAAAATGAAAACAGTATCTGGGGACTAAATCACCTAGCTGTTTAAGATAGTCGTTGTTAAGTAGTATTATTCTGGCTTTTCAGCAGATGTGATAAAAAAAATCATGGCTTCCACACTGAAATGAAATAGCATTATACCCTAACAACAGGATATAAAATAGAGCAACTCATATTCCAAACACCCACGCTTTTGCACCTTCTGCTGACAATTTGGAAATGGGCCTACAGGAAAACCAACAAACAGCAGGGTGACAATAAAACATGAGTGTTTAGGAGGCTGCTGTAATTTACATGCTTTGCTGGTTGCTTTTCCTACTATGCCCTTGATCCCTTCCTACCCTCTTAATATAAACTGTAATTTTTTTCCTGCCCACTAAACATAAAAGTCTTGGAAAACACTACATAAACTTCTGACATCCTTCTCAAATGGGTACTTTACTGTCCCCTGCTGCAAGCACCTATATGTTCTACAGAATAGTTTGGCCAATAGCATTTGCAAACATTTGTTTTTCTATCTGGCAACAAATAAAATCTCATTCTCATTTCACTTGCAGCATAGAAATTCTCATCTCAAGACACTCTCCGTATTCAGAGTAATAACCCATTAAGGTATCATGAGCTACCAGCACCTTCTAATTAAATGGCTCCATAGCAGGAAGTAGCTGGCAAAAGTAGTTAAAGCAACTCTGATCATTTCTGATAGCGTTTGCTTTTGCAAATCTCTTAAGACAAGAAGCTGGCTGACTTGTTGCCTGGATAGCGTGTGAGCTGAAAAAGTGGCAAGGAGCCAGATTTTGAGGTTACACACCACAATACTTATCATTCTTTTGTTTCTGACAGTACTGGCTAGCCAAAGAGACCTATAGAAAACAACTGGGAGAAAAATGGATTAAAAAGGAAAACACACTGGGATGTCTTGGAGCCTGCTTAGAGTCCTTTTGACTGCTCATAAAAAGGAAGGGTTTCACAATTTAAGACATCAATTATAATATACAAGTCAGTAGTTAAGCTTGACCATAAAAGATAAAAATTTAACTCTCCATAAGCTCATTAGAGATTGGAAGGACCCAAAGAAGATTGTTACAGGAAAAAAGCACTTGTATAGTATTATTCAAGTGGAAAAACCTGTTGTTAAAATTGTGCTGCATTATTTCTGCAGCTTGAGCATATTTTTTAAAGTCAAAAGTTAAAGTAGTAAGAAATAAAAAGAGAAAGTAGAAGTTAGTTTCTATTAAAGCTTGTCTTGCCTGTCTTGAAATACATCAGTCCCTTCAAAACTTCAAAAATTAGGATTTCCCTTGGTTTTTGTTGCCAGTAAGTTCTCCTTTTTAAAACCAACAATCTAAATATTCATCACCAGGTCACAGTCATTAAAACTCCCCTCTCCTACAAGCACAGTACTGCCATTGCCCTCCTTTCTAATTGGCAGTTGTTTCTCAGTCATGTATGTCTTGTCTCATGCAGAACAGGGCTGATGCACAGTACTTAATAGAAGGATTTTGCTTCTCAAAGAAATATTTATGGGAGAAGTATTCCCATAGACTCTAGACAACTCTGTGTCAGGACTCACAAGGGGAGTCTCACATCTGGAGTAGGACTACAGAAAAAAGTAGGTTGGTAGGTTTATTGCAACCATGACAAAAAGAAAAATGTGTGTTGCTACCCACATATCTGTGTCATTTCTATCTAGGTTATCACAAATTACGTTCATCAAGCCTGTTGTGCTTGAGTGCTCATGAAACAGGAATTTCATGTTTTGTCATACTGATGTTTTTTTTTCAGTGTTGCTTTCTGCATAACCTATTTCTATGCACATTAAAAGCATCTGCTAAAACATTAAGTTTTTTACACCTGAAGAGTAATTACATGAAGAGTAATATGGTTTGCAGTTTGTCTTGCAGATGCCTTGCTTTCCATCATGAAGGAAGCAAACCCTAGCAACTCATAACTAGATAACATGAGATGGGAAGTCAATGTTCATAAGGAAATGCTTGCCATGGCCTAAGGAAGGATTTTGGAACCTTCCTGACCCCATCCCTCCTTTTTCAGTTTGAAAAGTTAGAAAGAAATGGTATTCAGGATAATTAATAACAAACACATTTCTGTAGCAGCTTTTGGTAGCCAAAAGTGGAATAGGCACATCCCAGTTAACCTTAATTGAATGGAAGCACACTGGCTGGCTAATTAATTCTCTATCACTACCTACAGATTATTCTTTTAATAATGTCAGACTCCATGCATTTCATAGCAAAGAAGTATAAATTGTCTTTTTCCCAAGACAAACAACAAGTAGAGTTTGGAGGACAGACAATTATAATCTAGAACTCTGTCCTACGTTGCTTAGAAATACCCTGAAGCTCAGCTCCACAGGAGTGGCATTGACAGATATTGCTTCACAGGAATGCCTACTGCTGGTGAGGAGAATGGTGATGTTTTCTTTTTGCTCTCACTATCCAACTGTTCTGTGCTTCTCTCACTATCAGGATCAATTAAACACTATCAATAAAAACAGCTATGAAAAGCATGCTAGCAGGGTGCAGTTTGCAGCTCTGAAAAAAAAGCAAGAAAATTCAGTCTTACAAGAAGCACTGGCTAATTTTAAGATTGAGCATTCAAGGGTTTATGGTTTAACTGCAAAGTTCTAATTAATCATTGTTAATATTCCTCACTGACTACATACCACTGAAATTTAAAAAAATTTCAAAAGTCAGCTTAGTTTGGTTGACTTTGGTTTTTAAATAAACAGACATACTACGATCGGATGATGTTTTGGCAGGAGTTCCTATCACTTCTTGGAAGACATTCATTATTTGTCTTAAAAGAAAATACCCTGATTTCCTGTAGTGACACTCACATGCTAAGTCACCTTCTCTAACTCCAACAGACTGATGGAGAGTGCAATGAGGAAAGCACACTGCATGGGGGAACTGCTGTGTAGTGGGACTTCTGTAGCTTACATGAGTGGGGAGGTAAACACAAACAAAAACTTCCTATTATTCCTCAGTGCATCACAAGTTGGGTGGGAAGATAAATATAACCTTAATTAAGTTTTGATTATTCTTCTTCATTAAAAGTGTTCTTAGCACTCACACTCCCAATTTTACAAGAATGCTCCCTTGGATTTACTGATGCTGCTCTCTTGCTATGACAGTGGAATAATTGGCATCCAGTTCAGGTCTAATTGATGAAAACCCTTAGAAGATTCACGGGTAACAGAGGAACTTGGAAAACAGCTCTCCCTCCCTTTTCTGTGGTTGATAGATTTTTGAGTAAAAGCCAATACTTTTTATTTTCAAAGTCCATTTTGATTTAGATGTCATGGAGAGAACACACACATCTTTCCTGTCATTCATTTATTTTAATATACAGCTCAATCTGGAGGGTCTGATAAATTCTATAGAACAAAAATGTCTTTGTGAACATTTCTTATGGAAGATGCTTGGTAGAGTGCTGCAGTTTGTATGCATTTGAATCCAAATGCTAAAGTACTGCTGCCTCAGATAGTATAAATCAGCTTAAGTCCCACTGACTTCAATCAACTAAGTCACAAATGTTTCTGTCATCTTCCTGGCTTTATATAACTAACCTTGAAAATATCTTCAAAGTGTTTGGTAAGAGACATTACCACGCTGTCATGAAAGGAGGCTAAATCATACTGTTTAGGAACCTGGCTCACAGTTAAATATGTTCTTTTTTTATACCCTTCACCTACTACTAATGTAAAGTATTTTCAAGGATATTTCTAGTTTTATGTGAACCTTCATCAGCTAATTTACTCTGCAGTCAGAAAGGTCTGTGGTCAGTAATCAACTCATTGTTTCGTTCTAGGCAAAGCTAAAATCTTTCGCTGCCAAAATCATTCAGCTCCTGAAGGAATGGACTGAAACTTTCCCCTATGATTTCCAAGATGAAAAATCCATGAAAGAGTTGAAGGAGATTGCTCACAGGATCACACAATGTGATGAGGTAGGGTTGGGGGGCTGGGGGCAGTGGGGAAGAAAAAAAAAAACATTAAGTGGTAAAGCAACACTTGTCAACCTTTATATATAGTTTATCATCTTATACAAACCCTTGCTCCTGCATGCAGTATTTTCTAAATGGACTGCAGCAGTAGTTGCTAAGCTGTCAGTGTAACTGCAGGACATGGGCTGAGCAATGAAGTTGGTGGTCCATTAGCACAAACTGTCTATGCATAATCACCAAATGTAAGAGGAAGAGCCAAATAGTCATGACAATATGAAAAATGGACGTGGTGCAGGAGGAGAAAAGAATGAACAGTGACTATAATGCCACAATATAGTTACCTTTCACATGAATTATGTACCATCCTTTGTTCCTATCTCCTAACAATAATTGGCAACTATTTTGTTGCTATGTTTTAGGTGACATGCACAGTATTTCCACAAAGGAAGTTATATTTGAGCTCTTCCAGCTAGTCACTCACCAGATCTGAGTTTCTAGCCTATGAAGAAAACTAGACCTCACAAAAAAACTTTTCTTACGCAAGCAGATAAAGCAAATTCAAACAAAACAATGGCTGTTAGTTTTGTTTGATTTTTGTTTTGTTGGTATTGGTTTGTTGTTTTGGTTTTTCTCCAAACACACCCAAAGCTTACACTTTTTCCTCATTGAGAAAGTCACTGTATCTACCACTAGACAGAAGGAAGGATATAATCAAGAACTGGAAGGGAATTAATTGTAAAGCATTTGTATGAATGTGAAGGCTTACATCTATAGAAGTAGAAGCTTCTTGTCTTTACACCCACAACTTTAAGATATTTTTGAGAACAATTAGCAGGAAATGGGAAGACAATTGTATTATGTGTTTTTGTTGATTCAAGTGCAGAGAAAAATCAAGAACAACAGGTTTGACAGCACTGCATGAATCAGTGATAGGATACAATACAAGTAGGTGTTACCAAGCTGTCAAAAGGAAGTATGTCAGTTTTGGTGCATCAGCAAAACTGTTTACCTGGATGCTACCATGAAACATCAGTGCCTTAGTAGGAGGGGGAAAAGGAAACTGGATTCTAATATGACTTTTATTTCCTTTGTAGATAAGGGTGAAGAGGTGTATGTTTGCAGACCTACTACTGTAAAAGGGGACTTGGCAGAGATTTTATTTAACATCCATATCTTAGTATTTAATTTACCTATTACTTTGAACTAGAAAGAAGTTATGGCCTGCCTTTATCTTCCCCTTCCCTCCCACTCTGTTATGAATGAATAAATTGTCATTTGAAAAAAACACGTTTTCAGGGAATGGCTCAGTGCTCTGGTGTCTGAGGCATCTCATGACATCCATTAGTTACAGAATCACCGTATTTATCCCCTCAACAATGCTACATGTCAAGTTTGATCAGTGGAGAGCTATGCTACATCTGATCCCTAGGAACCCCAATTTGACACTGATGAAAAGCACCTCTTGCTCTCAGAATTTGTTACCACAAGAAATTACCCATACTGTGCTTCAGCAAGGGATTATGGTAATGGTTTGGGGTTTTATTTTGTATTTTTAAGCTTTTTCAAGTTCCCTTAGGACACCATTCTCCATACATAGGATAGAAAGTCATCAGGTGCTTGCCCTGGTGATATCAGACACCATACCAAATAGCTACAGCTACAGCCAGGGTGGCACCCCAAATGAAATACCAATGTCTTGTTTGAACTCAAACAAGTACAGATTATTGTACACTCGTTCATTTATTTTCCAAAGTGGTAAGAATATTTAGGGTAAAGCTAGTAATGAAAGTGCTGAAATTCTAAATGGCATTTGTCAAAGTATTAAGATATTGTGAATTTATTAGCATCTTAAGTAAGCCGCAGTTTTTCATGTCACTGCAGTTTCTTTGTTCAATTTCACATAACATCTGAGATATTCTCACCTGCGTTCAAGTTTGATTCTCTATGATCCATATCTAGAAAGTCTGCTCTCTCACAGCCACATGCATGTCAGGCATAGCAGCTGAAGTCAAATGATTTACAATGGAAAGCTCAGCATACCAGAGAAGGGAATTAGCGCTGTATTTTAGTCCCCCAACCACACTCTTGGCATTTCTGAACACTTGTAGCACAATATCAGAAACGGCCCCAGCCAGCTGCTCTTCAGCAGTAATCCAGTTGCCTCAAGATGAGCTACACTGCCTTCAGCTTTTCATTTCATTTCACTTGGGATACAGATTATTGCCTTGTAAAGCAACATTCTGACATTATTATTGCTTAATTATAGCATGCAATATACAAGTATTTGGTAGTCATCGTGTCTCACATCTGCTACATAATTTCAGTCATCACTGCACATTAGTGGCTTCTTTGAATGATCACAGATTCATGGCAGTTCCTTCTAGTATATTGAGTTGACTGGCAGAAACCAACACTGCAGGTTGTAACGGCTAAACCTTATGGCTAACTTCAACAGAAATAATTTGCATGGAAGCAAGAGAACAATTGTGTAGGAAAGAGAAGGAGGATTGTCTTTGGTAGGATTATTTTTTTCCAGCAATAGGAAGAACAGGGTCAGAGAACCTAGGTCATTTAAAGCAGTAACAGGAGGGTTGGAGGCGTAGGAAAGTGATCCAGTTAGCTCTTCAGGGTTGATCTCAGAAAAATGTTTATAGGACACAAACAATCAGTGACAAAAAAAATTCAGTTTGCCTTAGCTACCAAAACACTGAGCTTACATTTGTTTCTGTGGCTTTACTGGTATGTATCCTTATAGATCCTATGTTTCAAATCTGTACCTGATGAACAGAAAGGCATTTTAGTTGTCCAAGAACATGATGTATATTGTGCCTATACCTAAATCTTTGGATGCTATAGTTGTTGGAAGCCAAGCCAGGGTATTTTAGGGATATATTCCTGGACATTATGTGAATTCCCTGGATTGTGCCTGTGCTAGACAGACTTGATCATCAGTGGTTCTGATAAGAATAAGGAGGAGCTTTTTGGCACTTGGTCCACAGAAGACCCAAGAAGCCTTGTGCAAGAAATGCAACCACCTGTCCCTATACCCACTTTTAAACTGTTTACACAGATGCCTCTGAAAGGGGAAACTAATCAAAAACTGCCACAAGGAGCAGACCAGCCAAGCAAGTGAAATGGAGTTTGGAAGGCAGGCTGGCATAACCATGTCGTTATGAAGTTTTGTGGGCAGTTAGGACAAGTTCATTTGTCACAGGACTACCAGCTCAGATAAGATGAAAGAAAATGGATAATAGGCATTTATTTTTCCCAGTCAGAAATTCTTTGATGATATGTGTCTGCAAGAGCTAAAGGTTTTTAGCAGTCATTTTTTCTGCCTTTTGCTTAGGAAAATGGAACAGTGAAAAAGATCATTAGCCAGATGACACAGAATCTCCTGATGGCCCTCTCTGCACGGAGCCAGTACCAGGAAATCAGAGAGAAATTCCGGCAACCTGTTACCGACAAAGGCACCATCCTCAAAACCAAGCCACAGTCAACTCAAAAGGACATCCTGAGTGTGTGCTGTGACCCTCTGATCTTGGCACAGCAGCTGACCTATATTGAACTGGTGAGACACTAATTTGTGTGATCTATTTAACTTTCCATTTACTAAATAGTCTCAAGAATACTAATTTTGCTATGGCTTCACTGAAAGCCTCCAATGTTTTAAATAAAAAAAAAAATACCAAGTCATGAACAAGACCAATTAGGTACACAGATAATAACCACCTCACACATCTATACTGCAGGAAGATGAAGGTTACCAAAACATTCTCCTAACTTCATTGATGCGTTTTTCACTGAACTCCCTGTTTGTCTGTACAGTAACAATGTCTCATCTCTCCAAACACAGGAAAGGGTGAGCAACATTTACCCAGAGGATCTGATGCACATTGTCAGCCACATGGACTCCCTGGATAATCACAAGGTACAAGATGGGGTACAGAGGGAAAAAGAAACCAAGAATTACCAGGGTAAAGAACCTACATAATTCGAGTATACCCTGTGCAAGAAAGGCTGATATTTTCTAACCTTCATTAAGCTCATGCCTGAAAAAATATCCAACAAGATTTATCAGGACACGAAAAGGAAGTTTATCCTTTGGTATGTTGACTTTATCATGATACAGGATAGGATTAACATGTGGCCTGTTCTCTTGCAGTGCAGAGGCGATGTGACCAAAACCTACAATTTGGAGGCCTATGACAATTGGTTCAATTGTCTCAGCATGCTGGTAGCTACAGAGATTTGTCGGGTAGGTATTTGTAGAAAACAAGAGCAAAGTGATCCTGGCCTTCAGGACAAAAGGCAGGCAGTGGTCTAATAGAGATTTAAACATTAGCAGTGCAATTAAAGATAATGGCATTACTCAAGCATTAAATTCTTTCCATGCTTACATGATTATGAGTTCATGGCTATGCTTGGCTTTGCATTTATTCTCTAGTTTTGTGTAGCTTCCATAGTAGCATTAGTCATGCAGTAAAATGGAACTTCTATGGGGTTTGGAGCACTTGAATTTTTTTTTTTTTTTTTTAATACATCCATAAAGTCTTAAAGATACCCATCTTTAAATGCAGATTTACCAATAAACAGCTGTCCCTTCCACTGCATTTAGTTATTATTAGCACTATCATCTGTTCATTTCTGCTGTAGCAAGATCAGGAATAAACTTCATTCAGAAGTCTGGTAAGAAAGTGAACTTCTGTAAAGGTTTGGAAAAAAAAAAAGCGGAACCACAGCCTTATTACAGGTTAAAGTAACTTCTATCATATAATAAGCAAAGAAATGGAAGGTATACTGATCCAGAATCTTGTGGGTTTGTTTGTTGGTTTTTTGTTTGTTTTGTTTTGGTTGGTTGGTTTTAAACCAGGTATTCTGTGTTTTTCGATTCCTATTCATGTGTCCCATTTCTAGCAAATGTAACATTTTCTCTCTATTCCTGCTTGGTCAGTAGCCCTTCTGTGGAAATCCAGATGCCTACTACAGTTTCATGAAGTCCAATATATTGATCCTAAGCTCTTAGGACATCCTGATCTCGCAGAAACTTATTACAAAAACACACTAAGACATCTTCCAGAGCTGGAGGGTATGGCTAATATATTTAGTAAGCCAGTCAAACAAAAGGTTTTAGCATACCAAGGGCTAAGCCAAGCAACTGACTACTGAACCATTTTCTTTTGATACGGCACAAACTGAAGTATTTAGGTAAGAGAGGGTTTTTTTTAAAAAAGAAAAATAATTCACTGGTGAAGCAGTCTGCAGTCACTGCTCAGGAACGATTTCTGTATAAACCAGGCTGAACTTCTAGATCTAAACATGGGAGAGATTTTGATGAATGAAGGCAATATAGGCTAGGCAAAAATACTAGCTAAAAAAAAAAAAAAAATGAGAAGGAGAGAGAAAGAAAGACTGATGGCTTTTGGAAACAAAGTTTGGAGACAGTGCTATATATTAATTTTGCTTGGCCATTTATAAAATAATCCGCAAAGCAGACATTCAACATTACTTCCTTGATTCTTTGCATGTTTGCATGAGTGTGAATACATATATTTGATCATCATCACTACCTGCTTTTAAGAGGTCATTTAAGAGTATACACAGTAAAATGAAAGAATTTGGACATGACAATTGTTCTCCCTCACGTTCAGGTTACATGCTCTTGTTCCTAGGTCAGTCCACTCCTTTCCCCCTCTTCTTCAGAGGTTTAAATTTTTCGCATGTATTCTTCCTGATAGTAGCTTCAGTTTAGCTCCCATTTCCAGTAACAGGAAATTGCTGAAAGTGTCTAGCTTGTTTATACAGGATTCTCTAAGACATTGAACTTTATACATAAACAGAAATTTACACTCCCCCACAACTAGGCAAATAATTGATAGTAGCCCCAAATACTTCTGCTATTTTATTAAAAATTAATCTTAACAAAATACCCTCAGGCCTATATCATCATAAGATTTAGCTGGATAAAGTCTTGAAATATCTATTCAATCAACCTGTTATAATTCCTTTGGCTGAACATCCCATCCAGAATTCAGGCTATCTCTGCCATCTTAACAGTTATTGTTTTGGTTTGTTTTTTTTTTTTTTTCAGGTTGTAAAGAAAAAGCAGCGCACAAGAATGGTGGAATTTTTCATTGATGTGGCAAGAGAATGCTTCAATATTGGAAACTTCAACTCAATGATGGCTATTATCTGTGAGTATCCTTAGCACAGATGACAAAAGGCACTCCATTCTACAACCTGACTGGCAAGACATGTTCATACTTGCCCTAAATTGGCTGACTGCATCAGCATGCACACTTCTACCGGGACAGTATGTAGCAGTGACAGATTAATGGGTGGGTGGATGAGCGTTAGCTACAACTTTTGTCTGTCAATCTGAACTGCCTTTCAGAATGTGTGGTGCAGATACATATACACAGAGTTACATTAGCCTTACATTTTTTCAACTTTGTCTCTTCTCTCTCCATTCAGCTGGCATGAACTTAAGTCCTGTGGCACGGCTAAAGAAAACTTGGTCTAAGGTCAAAACAGCCAAATTTGATGTTTTAGAGGTAAGTATAAAGTTTAGACTTTATGCAGAATTCCACCAAATAGTGTCATCCAAACCGCTGCTGTGGAATTACTAAATCAGAGATCAGAGGCACCTCTGTCAGTAGTCACCAGCGTATAAACATTAGGGAGATCATTTCTTGAATTACAAAATCTCTACTTACCTGCAAAGAAAAGTGGATGCAAGTTTTCTTCAGGTTATTTCCTCCTAGCATATTTATTTTCAATTTAACATCAAGGTAGTTGTCACTTAACTGATTGCTATTTTGCTACCTTTAAAACTAATTAGAGTACTCCATCTAGTGGACATCTGAATGAAAACATAACTTGAAATAGTCATCGAAAAGATTGGTGACAGCAAGTTAGAATTTTGGGGATTCCCTATAGTCATTTATCATTTCCTTTCAGCCTTCCATTAACCACTGAACCAAAGCATAAATGTAAATCCAGTATAGAACCCTCCTTTCAAACAAGATAGAAGTTAGAAAAACCTGAATCCAGACCTGATCAGTGTAAGGTACTCTATCTTGAAAGTTTAAAAAGGGGCCTAACAAATTCATAAAGAACTCTTTGACGGTTAGATCAAAGCTTTTTATTCTCAGGAAACATGTATTACTTGACTGCCTTTTCCCCTCCACTATAAAAACAGCATCACATGGATCCATCCAGCAACTTCTGTAATTACCGCACAGCCCTGCAAGGAGCAGCACAGCGATCTCAGACTGCCAACAGCAATCGAGAGAAGATAGTCATCCCAGTTTTCAACCTGTTTATTAAAGATATCTACTTCCTGCACAAAATACATACAAACCGCTTGCCCAATGGACAGATAAACTTTAAGGTAGGTCTTTGCTATTATGGAAACTGTAATACTAGTTAAACTCTGTGCATTACAAACATTGCCAGTTTTGAACTTCTGGCTCATTATATTACCAATTCCTTCAGTATTACTCTGATCTAGACGTAAAGACAAATTGTTATTTAAGGAAAATGATGTCACCAAACATCTGTGAAACCTAGCGCTTGCAATTGCCATGTTTATATTACATATGCAGCAGATTCACAATTGCATCTACAGAAGAGAATCTGTAGAACTGTTGAAATATAATAGCCTTGAGTAAAAAGATTAGTTTTAAAATGTACTGAGAGATTATTTTAGTTTTACATGAAATGGGACAGAAGCACTGTAAAATATAATTCACATAAGCAGAACTGATTGGCATAATATGAATTTGTTAAAAGAACTGATGCATGAAAAGATTGAGAAGAAAATAGGAATTTCAGAAGCCAAACATACAGTATTAAAGCTTAAATAATACAGAAGTAGTCTAATGCTAGCTAATTGGAAAGGGAAATTCCTTCAAGGAATGTTGTACTCACACAACATTTAAAATAAAGGAAAGAACTTCAAATCAAGAAGTGTAAGAATTTTAGTGTACCATGTATGATGGCAGACAAAAATTTGCCACTCCTCAGCCCTTATGTTCAAAAGGGACTGGGGGAAGCAGAAGGCAGTAAGTATAGGAAGTAAGCTTTTCTGTGGCAGCAAGCCATCATATCTGGTCAAATTTTGATAGAACTTCACCTTAAATCATCAGCGTTCGCTCATTTAACCTCATTAGGTTAGCTAGCTATAAACACTACACACAACCTATGTAATAGGTAATTAGCAAATGGTAATTAGCAGGTCTTCAACAGAGTTTCTACAGGTTCTGGATTCTCTCTCCCTGCCTAATAATCATCCATGTCCAAAAGACCACAGACTGTCAAAAGTACTTTTGAAGTTTTTTTGACATTATTAAGGCTGGGTAAGGGGAGAGGGGCACACAGAATATACAAGACAAACCCTAAGTAATTACGTGTTTCTTAAGATCCTAGGAAGGAAAGGGTATCTATAGTTTCTCTATGTTATTTTGATTATTTCTTAAATTTAATGAGTGCCTTATAAAAAAAAATCATGTATGTCACATTTAAGTTGAAGATTGGAAATGTAAAAAGTAAATAAACCATTTGCTGACCAGGCTAATTTAGAAACATGATGCAGAAAACAGGTCAATAGCACTTTCTTATATATGAAGAAAAGGCTGCTGATGAAAAGAATTAAATGCAAGAGACCAGGTGCTTAACAGGGATAAGCTATTCTAAACTTGAGAGGCTAAAAACAAGTGAAGAACTAGGAGCAAGAGGGGAAGACAAAGAGAGCGGTAAGTAGAGAGGATAACAAGGAAGACCACCAAGTAATGGATAATAAGAGAAGCAGCATAAGAACAAGACTGAGAGGCTCTGAAATCTAAACAAACGAACTAATATGTGAAAGAAAACAAATACTATTTTAATAATATTCTTTTAATTACCTCATGCAGAAATTCTGGGAAATTTCAAGACAAATCCATGATTTCCTGACATGGAAGCAGGTTGAATGTCCTTTTGAAAAAGACAAGAAGATCCAGAGCTATCTACTCACAGCACCCATTTATAGTGAAGAAGGTAAAATCCTTTATTGAACATTGTATTTCCTACAACAACTCCCTACTTGTTGAAATACAGACAGAATACGCAGATTAAAAAATTAAAATGCAAAAAATATTTGCAAAGTATGTTTTATCACTTCCGTATTGCCTTCTGATGACAATAAACTTCATTGTGAAGTCTGCCAAGTTACACATGCGATCTTGTAACTTCTAGGGTTTTTTTTTTTTCAGTTAAAGAACCCATGTATTTAATTGTTCTTATTTTATTTACTAGCTCTGTTCATTGCATCTTTTGAGAGTGAAGGTCCGGAAAACCACATGGAAAAAGACAGCTGGAAAACACTCAGGTATAAAGCTTCCTCAGAACATAAGCCTTTTTGCAGACTTACACAGGCACGTGATCATCAGCTTCCTCCCTCCTGTTTAAATACCCAGCTTAACACCATTTTGGCCCAAATATAATTATTTTTTCTTCAAAATTCAAATCTGAAAAAAAAAAAAAATCAATAGGGCTTGGATTTTAATACAGCTTTTCCAGCCAGATCAGTTCAGGCTGCAAGATCACTGCTGGGAGTATGAGAGAGAAGATGCTTTGTTTACGCTGTCAAATACAGTAAAAGAATCTACATTTGTAGCAGTTTTCAGACATGCTTTTCTCCAGAGAACAAATAAATAGAAATTGTTATCGTACCTACACACCTGTGAAACTTAAAGGGATGAAATTTTACATGAATACGCTGATTTTAAGCCTACTCTTAAGGGAGAAAATCTCAATGACTCCTCCCTCAGAGGGAAGCACCTCTTCCACATACATGATGAGATCAGTTACCTCAGATGAGATTTCTTCTACTACTGGGGGCCAAGGCAGAAAGATTTAGACCTTTGTAAATCATGTTTAACATTTAGATTTGACATATCTGTACTAGGTAAAGAATGAATAAAGAAGCCTATATGTCCTGAGCTGCAGTGGAGCTACATTATGACTGTATTGTCCTAGATGAGACACTGTTTCCTAGTGATCCCAGTGTTTCTTAAGAAGTCCACATAAACTTTTCAGTTATGACACCTGTACAATGTACCTTGCATTCAATCTGATGCTGTTCAGCAAGCAATAGTTCAGGATGACGGAGGAACATGTCACTTGCCTGAATACAAGGCTCTGAAGTAATGTTACAAAAGTTAAATTTTCATTTCGTTTAAAGTCAGCATCTTTACTGGAAGACATAAACACAGACATATTCCAGCTTATAGCAGCTGAAAACCTATGCCTCAAAGAAAGGCTTCCAGCTAATGATGCAAGATAGATCTATTGCTAACCTTTACCAAAACTGTAAGGCTTTTTGTCATGATAGAAAAGATAATTTTATTTTATTAACTCTTCTTCTAGGACAACTCTGCTTAATAGAGCCTGAGATTTTTGGATCTGATCTGCAGACTTTGAAGCACATGGAACGAAGGTGGTTTTACAACCTGAAAGATTTGGACTGAGCTAAGAAAGGCCTCACTGGCTGAGGTCTGTTTTGTATATACAGTAACTTTTATGAAATAAAATGTGGTAAATATTTCACATGTCAACCTTAAGGCACTTAAGTGGAGGGTTTTGGGTTTTTATTTTAAATATAAGGGCAGGGCCCTGTTCTCAGAGATGAAATGTATCATGGGAGATGGTATCCCTGGGGAGATCTTATTCTATCAACATCCAAATTTTTATTTTTTACTACTTCCACCAAAGTAAATAAAAATTAAAACACACATCCTAACTAAAGCTGGTGTTCAGGTTAAATACTCCATTGGACCAGTATCCTACAGAACACTCAACATGTCTCCAGCTTTGAAGTGAAGGGTCTCCTTCAAATCAGCGATACCATTCGCACGAGCTAGTAAGTGTTTGTAGAGTCAAGGCCTTAGACATCTGCAGTAAGCATGTTCCTCTCCTACATCAGAAAATAGTGCCTTACAAGGTACTGATACTGTTTAGTGTACCTTCTATTATGCTGGACTGGAAGTAAAGAAAATAAAAATATGGATGTCTCAAAACCAGCTACAATGTACTTTTTAAATAAAATGGAGAATATGGCACATGAAGTAGAGTATACCTGCCTGTAACACTGATGGTGCAGCAAACATATTTTTGTTACATGATTTAAAGAGATAAGATGGGGTAACTGCTGGGGGATGTACGTTTGTGTGTGAGTATGTGTGCGTGCATGTGTGAAGATGCACACATGTCTAAGTTTAAATACTTTTGGGAACTATCCTTTAAATTCTGGCTGTCAGAATAGTTTGTGTTTTCCTTTTTAAAAATCAGGGATTTTTTGGGGGGGAAGGATGTCTAACCTAGATTATCTCTTCAAAACAGGCTCAATATGTTTTTTTGAAAACAGATTTTAGAAAATAAAACCCGTGCATGAGCTAGGGAGAGGGAAGTAAACTCAGATGTCCAATTTGAAGTTAAGGCTAAAGTTTCCAAAGAAGCTTAAGAAGAATTCATTCACCACTGAACTGGTAATTTCATTCCCTTAGTTCCTCTGAAAATGCTGGTCTGCACTTACAGACAATTAAAGCAAAGACCAATTTATGGTATAAGTTTTTTGAGTATTTTGCAAGCCGTGATTAAACGTCTAGGCTAGAACCCACTGAAATTAAGGGAAGACACCGTAAGAAATTGGTCAAACCTTTGAACGAAGGTCAGGACCAAAAGTAGAGGTGATCTGTTAACCCACTGATGCTTACCATTTCTAATTTCTCCTTTTAGAGTTGAGTTTATACTAATTTGGCTATCCAAATGAGCATGCAAGGAGCCTATGTTAAGATTCAAGGTATTCGTTTCCAGGAAAAAATATCTAGTTCAGGATTTACTTGCTCACCTCATTTCTGAATTGAGAGAAAAAATTAGGCCCATATTAAAAACTATTTTGTCTAATGAACAAATTGTTACCTATGAATATCTACCATCCTTTCTGGTAATTGTTCTTTTAAGGCTCAAGGTCTGTAAAAATAATGACTTGAGCCGGATAATTAGACACCTTTTTTTTTTTTCTTTTTTTTTTTTACACTGCCCTCTGGAGTTTACAGTGGTTACAGCGTCCCTCATAGAGGACCCTTGCACAAGCTTCTTAAAAAATTATCAACTTGAAGTAGATAGGTTTTTATCTTATTCTGCCTTCTGTTGAATAAGGGGCAAGATTTGCTGCACCGAGGGTCTGGTTTATTCCAGTCCAGTAGACTCTTCTTGCTGAGTGCCTACAACCAGAAGCCGTGCCACTGTTTCATGAGGCTTCTGCAATCTTTTTGTAGAAATTATTTGGTGTATTGGCCCTGTAGTACGATGAAAAATCAAAGAGCCTTCCCTCTTTCCCTGTTCCACTCCCCCTTTGACAAATATTTAAAATTAGAACAGTAAGTTGGGATAAGAAAGGGAGATAAATCAACATTTTGCTACTCCCATAGCATTTACATCAAAGAGGGGGTGGAAAAAAAGGCAAGTTATGCCATGAAGAAGGAAGTAGTATACTGTTAACAAGAACAGCCCAGAAAAGGGGAAGGGATAATTCTTATTATCTGCTGCTATTTTTCCTGTGCTGAAGTACTGACCTTCAGCCATGGATTAGAGTAAGACTATTTATACTGTATTATTACAGTGTTTTGCACTTTCAGAGATGTTCTAGCTAGTAACGTTGTCAGACACTATAAGAGGGATTGTCTATCAGCTTTGTTTATGTAATTGAAATTTAAAAGGGATGCTTAAAATTTAAGAAAAAAAAAATATATATTTGAAATGCAATTTTAGAACACTTTCTGTAAATGTATAAAAAAGCTTTCACATGAATGTGCACTTCACTGGTCAATCAGTCCTAGTATATACTTGAAATCAATGCAGTATCCACATTGGTTCCTTTTCATTTTTCCTCCCTCAGTTTGATACATTCCTTAAATACCGTGTTTTGCTATTCTGAGCTGAAATGCTAAATATAAAGCTGTACCATAAAGCAGGATATTCCGTGTTTGACTGGATGTGCTTGCATTAATAATAAAAAAAAAAAAAAAAAAAAAAAAAACCACACCAAACATTTGCTTCAATCAGGCTTCACTTTTTCCATGGTTATTTTTCACTTGCAAACTGATCAAGCCACAACCAGGGGCTGAAGGAGGTGAATCAACTCTGGAAGGTAACATAGTTGCAATGAGCCAACTGGTTAATTCCTGACTTATAAAGCTACATCATGAATTATTTAAATCTCTTCCAATGAAGGCAAAAGCAACACTAAACCAACAATATGCTGCCACTTCTAATGTGCTTTGTGATAGTATTTTATGGATTTGATACAGTGTCTCTGCTACAGCATGTTTTCATTCTCTCAATGAAAGTGATTAACAGTTCCACTATGTCAAAACACTTTGTGTGTCCCAAGAGTTTAAATTAATGTTTTTTCCTCCCACATATATATCATTTTAACAGGAAAGCACAGAAACATTAGCTGGCTGCAGCACACTGCAGGGTTTCCTGTAGCAAGATTCCGTTGACATTTCAACACTCCAGGACCTTTGGTTGCAACCACTACCTTTTTCATGCCCTACTTTACAGAAGCAAAGCCATTTCCTCAAGGCCACCCAGGGACTAGACAAGCACAGAGCTGCAAGGGCAATTCAGCTTTCCTAATGCACTGCCCCAGTGCTACCTCCTTTTTCAGGGCTATAAGCCCTAAAAAAAAAGTTAGATCTTGCAAGTGCAGGAGCTCTGAAGGTCCTATAGGTATTTTTAATCTGTTGAAAACTCTCCAGGGAAATTGTTTTGGTAACCAGACAGCCACAACAGATTCTCAGAGCAGAACAGTACTACTTTCAGTCATCATGGCTCATTAGAAAATATAATGATGTTTACCAGCATTAGGATCAAGCAGACAAGAGTCTTCCTGATGGCCAGTTCACACTCATAATTAATATGCATATTACATCCTTGAAAACTCACTTCCAATTATGTCCCATCCAGTCATTACAATAAATCAACTATTTACACAGTCATAGAAGTAAACAACAAAATTGCTTTCCAGGCACTTCACTGCCATTATAGCACGCCACAGTATGACAAGCGGTAACTCAATGCCAGTAAGATATCTTTAGTTATGTTAGCAGAAACCTGATTTATCAAGTTAATAATTCCCAAGAAACAGCTTGCTTTTAACAAATAACTCATGTAGCAAAATTCAGCTGACTAGTCAGCTGACAAGAGATACATTAGTACATCTTTTGGAGAGAAATCTGTAATTCTTCTGTGGACATGCAGACACACCTTCTCTCTTAAATCTGCAATGTATATAATTTTATCATGGCAACCCCAGCTTCCCAGCTAATCAGAAAAGTCTGCACTGCATGGAAGCACAGTTTTGTCCAACAGTTCTATGCAGTCATCAAAAAAAGCTGTGTGGACAGCAAGATACTTAAAAAAAAAAAAAAACAAACAAAAAAAAAAAATGCAGAAAGACTTTATCCTAAAATGTTAGTGCATGCAATCAAGGAAGTTTCCAGACCAGTGAGCATGCAAGTATTGGCAATAGTTGCTTTCAAATTCTTCCTTCCATGCTTGCCCGTGGAAGGGCAGAGATAACTGGGTATGCTTTGAGGTTTTGGCATGTCTCCATGAGCTTCCCCAACACATCAGACATTTGCATTTTGACACCAGTCCCCAAGATGGGCCTTGGGCTTTGGAATAGAGAAAAACAACATTTGTGGGTGTATTCCTGCAGTAATTTGCAAGTACGGCCTAAAGTGTAACCATTTCTGTAACACTATTCATAACAGTAAAGAACTTGAATGTTTCTAATATTTCCAGCACTGTAAGTAATTCCTAGCATCAGCATTTTTGTGGCTTCTTGATACCACATTCAGCTTTTGAACAGGAAATGGATGCAGTTGATTGCTGAAAAATAACTTTGGAGTATTAGTTTATTTTCATAATGAAATACTAAAAAGCAATCAAGTTGCATGCCATGCAGGGAGTGCTGATATAGTCTCAGACAGATACTCTGCCTACTCCTCAGGAGGTGTGATGAACAAGGAATTCAAAACACTGGGAACCCCAACATTGATTTAAAAATACCAAGCCAATAAATACACTGTTTCTGATCTACTAGAATGCATACCGTGCAATATAAAGAATACTTAGGCTTCTAATGACTAATAATAAAAAGCACTTCTATATAAAAAAATTCTGTAAGAAAGTGTTTGGCAAAACCAGTATATAGTTACTCAGGACTATTAGTAGCACCTCCCAGAAGAAAAAAAAAAAAAAAAAAAAACAAAAAACCAAACAGAACAACAACAAAAAAACCCAACCAAACAAAAACAAATAAATCAACCAAACACAAACCACAAACAAACAAAAACAAAACACCAAAAACCCCCACAATACAGTCCACAAAAACAAAACACCACCTCCCCCCCAAATGACAATTGAACAAAACCCCCAAACCCCAGGGCTGTTACCACATGGAGGATTCCTGTTAAGAAGCCCACTTCAATGCAAGGTATAGAGATTCATTTCACAGGATTGAAAGCAAGCTGAAAGTGAACACAAACCGAAGCACCAGTTTCAAACATCTTTCCTGACCTAGATCTGGCACAGAAGAAACTTCATATTTAGTGGAAATTTGCTTCCAATATTACTAATCTTATCTAGCTTCTCCAGATTAAGCGGGTATCTTAAAGTTAATGTAATTCTGTTTGGAGGCAGAAGTCCAGTGAGATCCAACAGAACCTTATTATACTGACAGAAAAGTATTTGACATTTTTAATTGCTGTCACATGAGCATACTAATCAGGCCTCTTCTGATTCTGGGGGGTTATTAAATTCAAAGACTCTTGCTAACCATCAATGTCGACATTAAAAGTTTTCTTTTAAATATTTAGACAGTATCCAGTTGTTTATATTAAATTCAAAGAAGATTACTAACAACACTCCACCTCTCCAACTAACTATTAAAATAGAGAACTGAAGTGCAACACACCATCAACTGCAGCAACAAAGTACCCTGAGACTCAGCAAGCACAGCTGTAAATGATGCATTTGGCTGAAGTCTTTTAACACTTACAGCACTAGCAGAATCTAATGAAACATTGAACTATTCATGTCTGTGTACATTATAGCTCAGTGCTGAAGACCTCTCAATCTGAAAAACAAATCACTCCTAAAATGATTCCAAAACATGAAATCCAAGCAACTAACGAATAAATCCACAAATCCAGGTAAATCCAATAGGTTTTCCTATACACTTTCTCAGAAATTTCACAGCATTCAAATATCCCAAGAAGAATTTGACAAGATCCTGAGGCACAGAATCACAACTTTACAACCGGTAAGGTTATAAAGTAGGTATGTTTATTCAGCACTGGGCACACGGGGGATAACTCCACCTACAGGCATGCGTACTTGGAGCGAGAAGCGGCTCCTTTTCATTACGTAGAACGTACCCCAGCAGCCAAAAAGTCACTTTGACAAGATTTTAAAAGCAAACAAATGCAGAAAACCCCAACAACTACTCTATGCAGACTGTGTTTGCAGGCCAGCGCACCATCGCAGTGGCTCCCCAGTAACTGCACAGCCCAGGAACGCATGCAACTCGCATGCTGAGAGTAGCCTAAGCTCTTCTCCAGACTGTACCTGAGCACCAAGTAGCCTCAAAGGTTTTTATTTTTTCTTCAAACTATCCCTGCAATATGTTCATCCTTCCCGTGGCTTGCAACAAAGACACTTAAGGCTGCAGCAAATCCGTGCAAGAGCTCAGGCTCCCCTGGGAAAAAGCCACCACTGCGCCTGTTTACTCGTTTCCAAGCTCTGCACAGCTTCACCTCCTGTATCCTCCACATTCATCATGGTCTGCAAATGCACACCACTGCTTTGCCCAGGAGAAACTCCCCATTTGTTTCACAAACATGACTTTGCTGCCTGGGCATGCCTGCCATAGCCTTCAGCAGGAGGCAGCCAGGTTGTACATCATATCTATAAAGGCTGCTTTATAGCCTCTACATTAAATTTTATTTTATTTCAGAGATGTTTTATTATTTTTTAAAAGAGCATTTTTGGCAACAATGAGAACACTTCAGTGCTAGCAAAGAGCATATGCGCCCCCCATAAACACACAAATGCCAAAACAATTGCAAAAAAAAAAAAAAAGCCCCAAACCCCCTAAAAAAAAACATCTGGAATTTTTAAGACCAGACACCCCTGCAATCATATACACAAGATCATCTTGAAAAGAGTTAAGTAAGCCATTGGCATTAAAAATGGCAAGTATGAGTTAACACCTTCTTTTACATACAATTCAGTACATACTACAAAGCATTCACCCTATGGAAGAAAAAGATAAGGCCCTGGAAGTTAACGTACATCAGCAAAGGATTTCTACAGCAGCTACAGTGAAAGATCAGAAGACGTGGGTCAAGAGACCCAAGACATGTGAGACAAACAAGTCCTATAGCTACAAGGCAACCTTGAAACTGTGGGGGTTGAAAATGCTCCTTTTGAAAAACTTGTTACACTACACACAAATTTATAGCAAATTTACAGCAGTTCAAATAAACCAATTAAATCACCAGAAACTCCTATCTAACCACTTTATTTCAAGTTTACAGGGACTTACTTCACTTATGCCAGAACCGGACTAAGCTAACCAAAGCAGCCATGTTTTCATACAATCTTAACAAATATTTAGACTTAAACATAAGAAGGACTTATTTTAATGTTTTACCTTCAGTTGAGAAGTAGTTCTGCTGCATGTACTGCCACACAGATCCCAGCTACGACACCTATTCTTCAAACCCAGCACAATACCTTTGCAAAAGCACACAAACTCTCCCATTAAAAAGATGAAAACCATTACCTTCTGGAGAGGTAATCTCCAAGTAGTATATCCCAGAAACATCAATAAAACATTTATCTTATTCTAATGCAGAAGAAAAACCACATTGCTTAGGAAAGAAGAAGAAAAACCTTTTCCTACCGGCTTCGGGTACAAATGAGAGGAGCCAATTAACCCACAGGGGCCTAATTAAGCACACAGCTGC